GACAATACTTTGATGACACTATTGTTTTGGGGGGAGGGGAAAGTGTTCTGCGATGAAATACTAGCTACAACAGTGGCTGGGGACATCAATGACTCTGATAGTGATAAGATTTTAGCTGCGAATGTGGCAGAAAACATCACTTGCTTTCACAGTGCTTTTGAATGAAATGTAGGGAAAAAAACAACAAGACATAACAGAATAAAAGAAAAAATTGCATATGCTCAGTTATAATGATAATAAAGTTTTCCCTGTCTAAACTGAGCCCTGTTCAAACCAAAAATACTTTTTAAAACATACATATAAGGTAACCTTATATAATATTATATATAAAATATTTCAAACATCTCTCAGCATATCTATTTTCTTAGTTCTCAGGGTTTCACTATATACTATACTTTTTGGTACTTATTATCATATACCATATTTACTTTATCAGTAGCACATGGGCTTATGTAAATGAAAAAAGGTGTGTCTATAGTTATAATATTAATAGTCATATTTTAACCCTAATCTGGTCAAGTCAATGTAAAAATACGTAGGGCTGACAGGACTAGGGGGTTAATGATCAATCATACAATAAATGCAACTATGTTTGTCAACATGCACTTTCATTGGAGATATGCTTTCAATAATTAAAAATAAATGATGTAATACATTTTACATCCTTCATATGTTTATATTCCCCAATACCTCTATTTATGTACAATTCAAAACAGGTTTCAGCACATCAAAAACTATAAATTACCTCATGTTATTAATTATTAATAAGACTTTCACTTCCGGAGAGTAAACAATTAAAGTGCCTAGACGTTAAAAACAATGTTCGACATTAAGTGAAATACATTTAGCTTTATAGTGTCACAGAATCTTTAAGTATCACTTTGTCTGCCCACACTGACTGATTCTTCAGTTGAGTCAAAACATATATAAAAGACACAATTCGATACATCGAAAATACCAGTCAATAAATTAGTTGTACTCTGATTGGTTGGCCTGTTAGGAATTAGAGTTGGGTAGCCAATCAGGCACAAGCTAATAGCTTTGCATTGATTCTGATTCTGACCTACCTGTTGGAATGAGTACAGATGAGGATTCGAGCATTGGGTTGCTGCAAGATAAGTTTAGATGCCTGAGCTATGGTGAAAGTTTTACCAGTACCAAATGGTCCAATAACCAGAATGGGCGGCAGATGAATATTCAGAGGTGTTGTCATTGCTATCACAGCTTCTTTTTGTTTAGGATTGAGTCGAGTGTCTAGCTGTTCACTCCACTGTCTAGAAATAGAAGAATATAAGTGTAGAGAGATTGAAAGTCAGTTTTTTTCAGTTGTATAAGCAAACTATATTGAAATATTGGAATAAAGTTATATCATTCAACAACTTACCTGTGTGGAGTCCATGGAATGTGGGGAGGGGAACTCACTTTTGGAAATAACATATCTAAATCAGGTACTTTATCTACAGCATAATGCATTTCACATAACGGAAGCCTGGAAACAAAAGAAGATCAATGAGCAAAACATGATTCATTATTTATCAGAAAAGGATAGTACGATATTACTGTGCAGTGGTATCTGAAGCACTGAAAAAGTCAGACATGAAAAAACACATATAATACCTGTTAAGTTGAAACTGAACTTCTGCTCTTATCTCAGTATCTTTAGATAATTTCAATTCGTCTACACAGTTCTTGGAGACCTTGAGAAAGATGAATCCTTTGCCCTTCTCTTCCACAGCTAACTCGTACACAGTATCCGTGGTCTTCTTGTAAGACACAAGTGAGAACAATGCAGTGCTGCAGCTATTCAGAATTAGTCGTCCACCTGGAGTCTGTTCCGATAGGTCATCATTCAACCGCATCTGGGCAAATAATTCTCCATTGACCGAATACTTAGCACCTTGCATTCGACCAGGTAGCAAGAGAAAACTAGGGACAAGCTGCAACGTTGCCTTTACATTGAACCTGTACAAGAATACACATTTTAATAAATGCTCTTAGTATTATATAGGCAGTGGATTTGGAGTTGTATGAGAAAGACTGCTCATAACCAGCACAAGCAATAACCTGTTTTCATTACCAGGGTTCCTACAGGTCTCAGCACATCAAATTACAAACATTAAGACAAATCGTTTGTGAAATTAAAGGTATGTAACAGAAACCAACTCTTGAGGTTATGCACCAAGCAGTGATTGAGCCAACGCAATGATAATACTTGTAACTACTGTAGCGAAGGATGACCAGTTGCCTGAAAAACTATGACTGTTGTTTTTTAGGCAACATTGCCTGATCCAACTTGTGGATAGAGTATATCATACACACAGGGCAACACATGAGGAAACATTCGTGTTGCTTTGTGTCTAGGCAAGAAGAAGTCACACATATCCTGCAAATCCCTTTGAATATGCAATCACATTATTACAAAACATACTTAGTAGACATATCTAGCCAGAATAAAACAAGCAATAGACCTTGAAATCATCACGATGACAGTAAAACATTTAGCATAATTCTTTTCAAATTGACAATTTTGTAATGATGACATTTCTGATATATTTCTAATCATTTTAAAAATGTTCTGCAGTAACCTTTTTGAACCTAGTGCTTCTGCAACAATTTTGTCTATTTCAGTCATGGCTCATCCACTAGCTACATCATTCTACCGACCGACCACAACATTTATTCAAATTTGTCACTCAGTAAATTACAGTAAATTTTCTAAAGGCGTGAATGCTTTTTATGGAAATTTAAAAACTATTTATAAAATATTTACCCTGGAAAAACCTGGAATGTTTTTGTTTCTTTTAAATTCTGTGAGTTTACGATACAGAGTAAAGTTTACAATCTAGTACAATACAAGCTAAGGCAAGCATCATGTTTCTTTTTATTTATCTTGTTAGTTAAGTGGAGATCAAGTCTCAGGTGAGCCTAGACTAACATGTGATGAAAACAGGAAATTCACACACTCACCAACAGGTTTATTTTAGTTTCTGTGAACAAGCACAAAACCAATAGTTCACCCAAGGGCCTTAGCTTATATGTTAAACTATATCAATGAAAGGTCATTGTGAATCTTGGTTATATGAATCACTGAGATTGAACTCAATGTGAAAAAGCGCCACACTGTAACCTCGATCAAAAACATTACATAGGTCTTAGATATAATTATATTTTGCTCATTAGTTAATTTTATTTTAATGAAAATCACATTTTATTATATCTTGCTTTTGTACCAAAATATACCGTAAATACTCTAATTTATGGATCAGGGAAAAGTGAAAGATCTAATTTTGCTCTAAAATAGGGCATCTTGAACTGTGAAAGTTAACAGTCAAACGAAAAAATATGTTGGCATTTCTACATACCAAAAAATACCCTGTGATGTTTATGTAATATGCATTGGTTTTAATTTTGTTGGAAAGGAAAAGTATAGTCTAGAAAGAGTTTCAAATAAAAAGAAACGAAAATGCATTGCTTTGTAGAAAATGATCACATTTCTCTGTAGCATATTCTGATCATGCAAGTGAATAACCTACTTGTGTTCAAGGTGTTTCAAATGTGAGTTTGAGTTTTATTCTATTGTGATTGTATTAACTTACAAAATATCAATTCGTTGGTTTGTTATGAAATGCAAGTAAAATTCAACTTGGTATCATCATAAAGTGAATGTTTTGTCACACAATAAACTAAAAGTTAATGAATAAGCTACATGTAATAATCATAAATTGGACTCTAATTCAGACGTCTGTAAAGATTAAAATGTTTGAAAAAACGACACTTAGAATATTTACAGTAAACAAAATAGGTCAAAGTGTTTCAGAGAAACATCAAGGATACATGAAGAATTGAAAATGGCTGCTGGTCAGCAATTTTGAAGCAAATCACAAAACCAATAGACATACAATTGTAACCTATTATTATGTCAATGCCACATGTTAATGAATAAGTATGTCAAATGTCAACAAGCCATGCATGGCACAGTCCCTGTTAGTTATCAAATATAAAATATATAGTTTTTGTTTATAGTAATTACCGAGTAAAGCTTTCTAGTTGGAACATAAACATATCAGATATGAATCTAGAAGCTGATGCTCGATTATGACAATTTTTTCAACATTTTATTGTATCTGATCGTCAGCAATAATTGAAAACAAAATCACTACCAGTTGGCCATTTTGAATACAACTGTAATGAATATATTGAAATTTAAACATAATCAGACAAAGCATATCAGACATATGGCTCTAGAACCGCATTCATTAAAACAAAATGGCCGCCAATACGCTATTTTGAATCCGATCTGAAAAATAAAATGACTTGCATCAGGGACCCATAATTTCTTATGTATGTACCAAGTTTGAACAAAATCCATCAATAAATAACCAAGATCTGGTTCCACAATGCCAGATATGCTTGATTTAGATGATCTTTCAGCACATTTTGAAGCAGATACCTAAACAAATATATTTGAACATCTATGACATGATGTATAATGAATTTATAAAATTTGAACATAATCAGTCAAAGCATGTCGGGGATATGGCACTAGAACTGCATTCATTAAAACAAAATGGACACTAATCGGCCATTTTAAATCAATCTGAAAAATAAAATGAAGTGCATCAAGGTCCCATAATGTCCAATTTATGTACGTTATGTATGTAAGTTTAAGAAAATCCATCTGTAAACAGCTTTGAAAAGCTGGATTTTGATGAATTCTCAGTACAAAAATGGTTGCCATTGGGCCATCTTGAATCAGATTGATAAAAAAATTGATGTGCATATGTATAACATTATGTATGATGTATGTGAAGTTTGAATGTTATCGGTCCAGGCATGGCTAAGACATATGGCGGGACGCACGCACACATAGACACACATAGGTCAATCCATAAGTCCCCTATTTCGGACTGCATTCGAACAGGGACTTACAAATCATAAAATTCATTCCAGTCATGACACATTCCTCATGGATGTACCCTCAAATACAGTATTCATAATATTGATGATCTATTTTTCTGTAACTTATTTTGAATATATAGAAGCTAAATCTATCCTGCTAAAGGCTGTGAAAGATTTCCTATTACCGTATAGAGCAGTGTGATATTTTTCAAGAACACGAGTGACTTACCTACTGATGTCCTTGAATTGTGCCATCTCTTCAATGTTAAGTAAATCATGCATCCGCTGTCTGTAATTATTTTTGGTTAAAGCCTTATCGAGTACAGAATGCTTAAAGAGCTTATCAGGTGTAGTTGGCAGTATGTAGAAAGATAACAACCCTTTATCTCTGTCAGTTGACTCCATGAGTGGGGGCTCAAAATCTATGATGTTTCTATTGCTACGGTCCCACCTCTCGGATGTACAAATCAGCGTATCGCGTGCCTCATCGAGCTGCTTTTGGTCACTTGGTGAAACAACATCAATGCTGACCCTCTTCATGAGTACAGGCTCACTACCGAAATCAAAGACTATGGACTGGCGAAACGTGCCGAAGATTTCCGTAGCGAAGGAAAGCTTTACTCGGTAAATGCGCTCATTGCTCTTGAAGTTGTTATTGTTGTTCCTTGAAGCTACCCATTCTTGAGAGTTAGGACTAATTTCTTGTTGCGTCTGTCGTTTGCTATCACCACAAGATACGGCCGAGATATGGAAATGATTGTGATGGATATCGTACAAAAGAGCTACTCGACTAAGTTGTATAGGTGCCTGAGGGAACAGAAAGATGAGAAGGATCAAAAGTAACGCGAGCTCATCTAATGCTATATCTGCTTTCTACACAGTGGATGCGCAACCACTCCGTTATGGATATCAATGATTGTCCAACATCCTTCAACCAGGAAATGATGTGTTTCCATGGAAACCACCATGAAGATTGGTTAAATTGGCTGGTACATTACGATAAATATTTGTAGTTCAATAACTAACTCAATTTTGAATGCATTGCCCTAAATAGACAGTACCAAAATATAGTACAACTTTGAATACACTGCTCACTATAGACAGTGCCAAAAATATAGTGCAACTTTGATTGTACTGCCCTCTATAGACTGTACAAAACATAGAACAACTTAGGCTGGTTCTCGCCTCAAGTGTCATGGCGTACCAAGCCACAAGAGGTTGGTAACTAGTAACGGTTCCAGCATTCTGATTGGTCCATCACTTTCTTGTTGTTTTTTCTACTTCCCTTAGTTACCTGACATAAGCGCTGACGCTCATGGCCGTTCAGGGGTTTCATTTTACTTTCGAAAGTTGGGCAAATAAAAAACTGTTTCTTTTTTCATAAATTTGCACAGAAACAGCAAGAAATGCCAGAAACATCTCAAATATGTAAGTTTAAGCAGGCAGAATGGATGAGCATGACTTTATTGAAACTTGGAATGTTTTCAAATTACATCACTCAGTCACATGCCTTTGGGCCGGAATCCCAGCCCTGTGAAACAATATGGCATTTACTGGTTACCTGCGTCCTACTTGCCATTCGCAAGGGATGCCGGGAACCAGTGAAAGTACAACTTTGAATACACTGCCCTCTATGGACAGTGCCAAAATATAGTGCAACTTTGAATACACTGCCCTCTAGCAGGGGGAGCAGTAATAACTGGCTCTAGTTTTTACCCTACGAATAGTGCCAAACACACACAAATTTGGCTTCACACTATCTAATCTGTCTGTGTTTTGTCATGAATTTTTGAAAGAAAAAAAGAACAACCAGGAGATACAGGAAAAAGTCATACTCCCAGTACACTATGGTGTTCTTAAAAGTAATTCATATATTTTTTTTTTCCAAAAAAATTTATTTAAAATAAAAATAAAATGGACAGAATCTTTAATTACTGTATTTACATGTACTCTATTTGTATGTTAATGGGGGGGGGGGGGGGGTATGTAAGTGGCCAAGCTACTGTAAAATACTTAATTTTAACTGAATAGACTTTTTGGCTGTTTTGTATGCAATGTATTTTCACTGATTTTTGATGAGTTGAATGTAAAATATAAGAAAAAGGGTATATTCACTGGATTTTATTTTCACTGAATCATTTCTTCAGCAAAAACAAGAAAATAGAGAAAAAAATAAAGTATTCCACAGTAAGTCATAATTCAATAATTCAATATAAAATAAATACATTTTATGGTTTGTGTGATCTAATGTGTTTAAAGGGTTACTTATACTTACTTTGCAATGTAGTGTAAATGTCCAGGTATGTGAGGATTTCTTGTTACAAACAGATATATCATAATCAGCATTAGCAGTAATCTTTACATCTTCTAAAGATTCAGTCAGCTAAAATAATTAATATCACAGATATTAAAGCAGCAATATTACAATATATCACTAAAACAACAGATGAAAGCAGTCAGATTTTTCAGATTGGCTAAAAGGCAGTTGAATGTGAATTTACAGATGAGAAAGTAAATTCAAACATTTGTCATAAACATGTGTTGTGTATTGTAATAGTTAAAGGTCTTTTGTGATGATAAAGTAGTAGCGAGGTTCATGTTCATTTTGTTTGAATGAACTGTGAAAAGTATGCAATGTAGGTAAAGACCAACAACCTGGGAAGAATGATAGAACT